CTCCCCAGAAATCGTTGGCTGCTGATGGGTTTTGCAGACTCAATAATGAGAAAAACAGAACCAAATAGCAAACAAACTGATTTGTTGGCAATAAATGTTTTTATCTGCATCTTCACATAATAATGTTAAACATTTTCTGTAATGCTTTAGTTATTTAACACCTGTTTTTGAACTTAGGGTGAGGAATCGCGCAGACTTTCAATGACGGGAGCCTTTCTTAGAGTGACCATATGGCCAGAACAGCAGCTGTTGTGTCAAGTGGAATAAAACTACTGTGGGAGCCAGTGCCTTGAAGTCATCAGGTCATTCCCGTTAGTTAGCTAACCCTTCTATTTCCACACAACAGTAGGCCTGTTTTGATTTCTATCATTGTGGTCGTGTTCCAAGAAGCTAAAACATTATTGTTTTTGTTTGTTTGTTTTTACTTTAAATTAGTTATTTTTTCTATTCTTTTTTTTTTATTCATACAAAAACAGAACACTTAATATTGAATGCTGTTTACTTCATGTCTAGAGGTACCGGTAATCTTGGAATAAAACTCCCTCTCACTTTTTCTCTATTTATTTGAAACATTAAATAAACATTTCTTCAATATTATAATTAAAAACTTGATTATGACAATAAAAAACATGACTGGTTAATAGATTATACATTATTTAAGAATATTTAGAACATTTATTATACACAATGAGGCACTATAACTTGCAATAACTAATTTGTATTTACTATTTAATAACCTGTGCAATAATCCTGTTAAATATGTATATAAGTACCCTATATAAATGTATATACGTGAATTTCTCCACTGTGATATCAATAAATTCTATATTATATTATCTTATCAGCTTTGTTACATTGGTCATCACTACTTTTAGCCCTACATTCTAGGCTTGTCCCGATCCGATCCACGTATCGTATCGGGACGCCGATATTGGCAAAAAAATGAGTATCGGCAAAGCATGTAAAATGCCGATCCAGACTGCCGATCCAGTTTTAAAAAAAAATCCGGTCCGTATTTTCCAGTTTCGCCGATTGAAACGATCCATTCCACTATTTTGCGCCAGTGTTCCCCTGTTTTGCATTTTTATTAAAACTTACAGTAATACTTGCACCTTTAACTGTTTACGGTTTTACTGTTCACTGTGCAATTTCAGATTGCTATTCGTAATTTTGTCCAGTTTGTGTTTATCTCTTAATAAACAGGTGAGTTTGTTGTTACAAAGCATTGTGTTTTATTCAATCTCACCTAATTTAGCTGGCTAGATGTTATCAAGAGTACTAAAACCCTTTTCAACATGAGTCTTCAACTAAGGCTAAATACTTTAACTTAAACTTAAATACATGCTCGGATAGGCTGGTATCGCCCAGTATCGGTATCGGATCGGAAGTCCAAAAACAATATCGGTATCGGATCGGAAGTGCAAAAACCTGGATCAGGACATCTCTACTACATTCGGTATAAAGCTCTGTTATTAGGCAGGCTTGGGTTACTCAACCTGTTGACTCTTTAACCCCATAAGAATCTCAGTCCACTTTAACAAAAACAAGTCATTTGGGCTCATTCTTAAATAAATTATTTGAGCTACAGGTATTTTTGTTTCCATATTATTACCATTGATCAACCCAATGGGATTATGATAAATAGTTTTCATCCACAAAGATCAGTTAGTCTGTGAAGCAACACTGGTGGTAAGAATTGACAACCTTGGTGTTCTCATGAGAGGCAAAGGGAAAAAAGAAAATAAAATTAAGCTTAATTTGTTCTTCAATGACATGTCTGGTATGAACTCCAGCAGGTAGGCACTAACAAGCCAACAACTGCAGCAAATTGCTGTATTTTTCTTTCTTTCAGCATTTTTTGAGAAGCTCGTTAGCATCATGGGTGGCAGCTCCAACTGGCATGTGGTCTTAATATTCCTTCAACATACCCACAAACCTCACCAAACAAATTAAGGGTCTCTGGTAGGATGTAGGATTCATACTGGAGCTGCGCAAGTTTATTGTACCCATTAATACTCAAAGGGAAATAGACAAAACGCGGATCATACATCAAAGTGTATAAAACCAGGAGAGAAGTTTGTATAAACTCATTATTGAGCATTTGAACCAAGATTTTAAAAAGTGCATTTGGATATAAATGTATTTATATCTTCACAGGATTAATGATATGTACAGCCCCTAATACATTTGTGCATTCTCAAACCTTACTGTAGAGACATTTTCATGTAGAATTCTGAAAAGACGTTAAAGCTGAATATTTCACCTTATGTTAATTGGTGATATTTTGAGTATGGTACAAATTTTTAAGTTTGGTTTATAAAAAAATCAGGTTGAGGCAGAATGTTTTGCGAATGTAATGTTTTGGAACACATGACTGTTAGCCATGACCTGATAATGCCTTTAGCTTTCTTGTTTTTGGCCATAAAAGTTAAAATCCCCACTCCTGGACCACCCGGTTGAACATCCATGTTGACTGAACACCTCCCTGTAACCACCTGGAATGACTGTTGTCTATCTGAATGCGGCGTATAGCTGAATGACAATACAGTATGACTGTAATGCCAACAGTCATTTGATCAGCTAGAAAGTAAAAATGAGAGGAATTACCATGACAACTGTTAACATGTCTGAATTTGAGTGTTCAAAAAAGTACCTTAAAGTCAATGGTTGAAATACAAAATGGGAATCAATTTACTTTCCCATTAAGTCCGTCCCAGTGTTCACGGGGATGGACGTCTGTGTCTTCGGCAGGCGTAGAGCTAACAGAACTGGCAGTGTTGTGAGGCAAGGGCTCAGACATGTACGGCTGTAAGCCTTCTACACCAAACCGAGCTTCTGCCGCCCTGGCGTCCTCTTCCACAACAACTATATTCCCGCTTTCATCCTCTAAATAAAAAATGTATAACGGAGGAAACTCCGACCTCCGACACTAAACTCTCCTCCTCTTGCATGTTTCCGCTGTCCATTGCGTTCCTTGACAGTGTCGTTTCTACGTCACTAATTTAGTGCTATTTGGTCACAATGTAATTTCCCATTGGGAACCTACTAGCAATAAGTTGCTAACTGGTTAGCAAGATGCTTCTGAGACACCAGCCACAATCAAACTTGCTTATGAACCTTCTGCCACAACAATCCTGCCTTCTTGACAATCAACCAATCACATTCACTTTATTCACTCGTGTCAAGTTGTGCACCTCGGGAGATTTCAGATCTGCAACCGTTGGAACAGCCGCTTCCCTACGACTTTAAATTCTTGGTTAATCTTTGCTACCAAAAAGGCTCAGCCCCTGGTTCTTGGTATGTCAGACTAAGCAGGAACGAACTATTTCCATATTTAGGAGAAAAGATTCTTTGTTCTCATCCTGTTCAAACATCTGTTGTGTTTAACATTTTGAGATTACTTTAATTGTGAATTACATACTTAGCTGGCTAATAAATGTATAATATAATAGTAGTAAATTATGTACTACTACCAGTACTGGGCCACATGAAGCAGAACGGTTGCAAGCCTTTAAAGTGAGGTATATAAGGCTTTTGATAGAACAGAAATGCCCGAGAGAGGTGGTGACAGCAGCTGCGCTTGGAAAAGTATGGGGGAGGCCCAAAATTCCTGGCACCTTAAAAAAAAGCCCCTGGTCTAAAATCAACACCTTCTAGCAACACAGGCAAAAGGTTTTCCTGAGAGACATTTCAGAGTCGGACAAAAATGAAGGACATTTGGAAGTAGAACAGTGCAACATGTAAAACAGCTGTCATCACTGCAAAATGAATGTGTGCATTATCAAACACACAAAGGATGGCTTCATTGCAAAAACTGGTATATGATATCGCTGTATCCTTGGATGGATGGATGGATGGATATATATATATATATATGTATGTATATATATATATACATATATATATATATATATATATATATATATATATATATATATATATATATATATATATATATTATATATATATATATTGCTGCTTGGATAAAGTTGCATGGTCTTTTCATGGTCATTTTCATTGTGCAGCCCTAATTGGAAAAGACAAGGTGAAGTTTTCAAATGTAAGAATGTCAAGCACGGTGGTAGTACCATTATGCTCAGGGTCTGTCTTTCTAGTGGGATATAACTATGGCACTTGTGAGTTCTATTTATGGTGTTTTTACAGAAAATAAGGTTTTTCTTCTCAAATGTAGTAAAAAACATAAGGGAAAAAATGGCATACTGTAGAGTCTATAAACATCACTTAACACTAACCACATTTGTTGACCATTATTTCAATAACTGATTAATCAAGATAATTTTGATTAATTGTTTCAGCACTAAAATCTAATCTTTGTCTCAGATAAGTCCTTGTATGGCCAAGGAAACTATCAGCAATGGATCATTTAGGATCATCTTATCCTTCAAATTATTCATTACTTAAATCTTATTTAGATCCCATCTACTGTTTATTTTTAAACTACTCTACAGAAAAAGAAAGTTTGCACTATTGGTTTTAACTGTCACCAGAAGCCCTGAACATTGTATCCCAATTGTCTTAAAGTAATCCAGTCCATCCCTTGTCTCACAACCCATTATCAGAGATTACGATGCTGCGAAGGAGGGCCAGACTGTCTGAAAGCTGCAAGCAGCACTGCCAACACAGTCCTCTTGCACAGATCTCTCTTATCTTGTCTTTTGGAGTTAAGTTTATCAAAAAATGAAGGGTTGAAGTGTAATTATGTGAGGTTTTCAACATAGCCAGTCTGAGTGTATCATCCTCCCTGCTGGACTAAAGCCCATTTTGCGGTAAATTCACACAGGGCTGTTCAAATATTATCTGACACTAATCATCTCTGCAAGGTCTTGTCCAGAGACAGGCAAAAAACGCATGTTCCCATGGAGGCATGACAGGTAATAAATAAGACAGCCCATCCAGAAGTAGTACCAATTAAAACTTGATTTTGAAAAAAATACTCGTAAAATGTATTTTAAGGGAAGAATAAAAGACATAATACTCACAGCTTTTCCAAGGAGTGAAGTCCAATGAAGGATCCATTTCTCAGAAGTCCAATTTTGTTATGGCTCAGTATTCTGTGAATTTGAAGAAAAACATATTACAGATATTCCAATTTCTCCCCTTAGAAATGCAATATTACCAATCCATAACATGGGTTTTACAACTAATAGGACTCTAATTACATGTGAAATTAAGAAAGAAACAAACAAGCAAGCAAGCGAGATAAATGTCAACTTGCTATGGTCACATGAGAGATTATCCTGACCAGACACATTACCTAAAGATGGTTCCTGAGACAGCATAGGACAGCAGGGAGACTCTGATCTCCACAAGCATTCTGCATCACTTTTTTTTTTACGAAAACATCTAAAGAATGTCTTTAAATATCCAACAAATATCACATATGCTTTGTCAATTAGCTTTTTTTCAACCCGCAAATCAGTTGGCTTATATGCCTCTTTTCGGGTAAAAGGTCAGAGCACTGTGAGACATTTGAAGAGTACTTTATGCGACAATGAACACAGGCCCACAAAAGAAAAGACTCAGATTTTTGTATTGACTTGCAAAATTCTGCAATCTCAACAATTACGGAAAAATAGATTTCTTAGTTTATAGTATATAAGCTATCGTATATAATAGTATATAGTATAGTATATAAACTATAGTATACAAAATCATAAAACCATAAGTTTTCAGTCATTTGGAAAACTCTGATTGCTTATTTCTATATTTGCTCTTACACTTACCCTAAAAACATATCTTTAGCTCCTATATATGTAACAAAAGTAATTTCCCTCTGGGATTATTAAAGTATTTCTGATTCTGATATATGGTTGTAGATATATAAGGATAAGACTCTTAAGACTATGCACATGACAAACCATAGCTAATTAGCATCAGTTTTTTGTTTACCTGTGAATAGTGTGGAGAGGACTTAAACCATGTCGAAGATAAAGCATTTAAAACAATGAGTAAAGCTGTGCTACCAGGGGCACAATTAGGCTACCCTGTCTTCTCCTATGAGGAAACTTTGGTAATAAAATCGACGAGGAAGTTATGAATGAAAGGATAATACTCAGGGAGGAAGTTCACCACAGAATAGTTAAAAAAAACATAAGAAACTGGAGCAGATGACAGTGGTTTCTTTAATGCCCCAGGTTAAAAGAGAAATAGAAGCTTAAAGCAACAGATCCTGATGTAAGCTGACAGAACAGTAAGATTTACTATCTGATGTCCACAGTGACCAGGCTCATTAATGTCATCATGGAGGCCAGTAGAAAGGGGGTTTACCCCTTTTTTGCTAAGGACTTCATCAGGAAGTTGCAGTTGGGCTTTTTGCAGTTATCAGGGAAGAACCAATACTGTTGACAATTGCATTTTAAGACAACGGTTGGTTAAAAAAAAAGCAACTTCTTTTCAGATTTCATTTCTGAACTCAGGAAATTGTTCTGTTTCTTTTTTTTTTTTTTTACTTTCCAACTCAGGATATTTTTTTACTTTGTTTATTTTGGCAAATCTAAATGGAAAAAGACAAAACCATGTTGCTTTTTCCTTTTCAACTTTCTTGACAACATGTATGGTTGAACATATGTGACATTTATTGAGGTGGAAACTGTAATGAAAGCATTCAATACCACAATCTAAATATGTGTCAATAAAATAACATTTACAGCTCTATTTCCAACCCAAAATGTTACTGCTGAATTATTAATATCAAAACTTAACCAACATCTGTGACCTCCCCAATTTAATTTTAGGGGAGCAGACCTCTTCATGGTTACCTCAAATAAGTCTGGATCCACAGACCTGCCTTGGCCTCGTCCTGGCAACAGCCAGCGATCATTAACACACCCTTCAGTTTCACATCGTCTCTGCTCCTACCACATGGAGCTTAATGGGCTGTTTGTGACATTAAGTGCGTTCTTAATCGAGAGCGGGAAGCTGTGTGTGTGTGCCTTTAAAAGTGGGAGCTGACTGCGAACAGTCTGTGAGATTTACAGATTCAGCAGCAGCCGTCAGCCCTTATTACTCCCCACCCACACCCCCCGTTTCCTGCCACATCAATAAAAAATGCTGCCTTTTGCTCTGCGCCTTCCAGCTCAAGTTAATGACCACATTTAATCGTCCAATCCTGGTAATGTGGGGATAAACCGGACTGATTCACCTCTTTACTTTAGTCTTTTACAACTAGTCACAACATGAAAACAACTTTAAATAAAAAGCCATTACAAGAGTGAAGTCAACCTTTGATCCAATTATCTTGGAAACTTTGATCAGTGGTGTCAGAAAGTACTATATATATATCATATATATATATACTCAATTGAAAAACACACACACATATATATATATATATATATATATATATATATATACATATATATATATATATATATATATATACATATATATATATATATATACATATATATATATATATATATATACATATATATATATATATATATATATACATATATATATATATATATATATATATATACATATATATATATATATATATATATATATATATATATATATATATATACATATATATATATATATATATATACATATATATATATATATACATATATATACATATATATATATATATACATATACATATATATATATATATACATATATATATATATATACATATATATATATATATACATATATATATATATATATATATATATATATATATATATATATATATATATATATATATATATATATATATATAGATATATATAGATAGATATAGATATAGAAATAGATATACACATATGTTTTTTCAGTTGAGTTTCTAGACCAGGTGCAAAAAATAAAAAGTCATGTTTTATAATTTCCAGTGATACAGTGGGTAGGAGAAGAACAGCCCTTTCACAGTATAGCCTGAATTTGAACCCATGACTCCTGAGCCTTAAGGTCTTTCACTCAACTTTGGGCACAGATTCCCTTTTATAAATGGATGCAGACAAGCTGAAAGCTATAGAGGACCCAGAAGTGCCTAAATAATTCAATACAGATACAGAAAGTCACATCTGGGAAAGATATAAGGCACATTTAACTCAAAGCAGGCAGTTTGATATGGATGGTTCCTTTTTGGCAGAGCATAATATGCTGAATAATGATTATTTGAGTCAGTAGGACACTTGTTTGCTTTTGGTGCATTTGGATACTCGTACATGAATCTGTATATGGGGATAAGATATTCAATTTTAAATATTCAGACAAGCATGGGCAGATGTGCATACGGGTGTGTGTTGTATAGTTTGAGTTATAATTTCTCCATGTTTCCAGGAACTGCAGATCTGCTGCAGGGTCCCCAATGCTAAAGTTTGGAGTGCAGTTGCAGCAAAGCACATTGTTCTTTCATAAACAATGCGGGGAGCATGACTCTGAGAAAGAGGACCAGGGACAACTTTGTAAACAGACAGAAATAGTCAAGCATTCCCATTAGGCTAAACAGGAAACCCAGCCAATTAGCTGTTTATTCGGAAACTGGTTTCGGAGGCCAGGGGTTATGGAGAGAGCACTTCCTGGACAGCCATCAGACAGATGGAGCAGTGTCCGGAAGCAGGTGACAGCCGAGGAAGAACAGAGAGCATCTTTTCATTGCTGAAGCGATTCAAGCAGCAGTAGAGAGGCTGCTTCTCCCTCCTGGAGGGACTTGGACACTCCTGAGGCTTTGCTGTACACGAGACGCTTGTTTCTGCATAAAACTAAGATAGTAGATTGGCCCAAAATGCATTCACGACTTATCAGATGTATAGCACAGGACACAGCAGTGCACACTGCTAATTTACTTCAGACGGTAATGTAGTTGCTATCTTCAAACCATTTTTACCATTCCTTATTCACTTAACCCCTTCAGACCACAAAGGGTCTAAAGAAACCAGATGAGCTAATTGAATTCATCCAATCATGTAAAAGAAGAGGCCGCATGTAAGGCTCCAGGATCCTCATCAGCCATTTTATTTAATTTATCTACACAAAGACGAAAAGTTAAGGGCCTAGGAACAAGGAGAGTTAAAAAGAGGAACAGATGCCTCTTTTTTTCCCTCCTAAACTGCACTGCGGTTAATCTTTCAGCAAAAATGAGGGATGACAGGGGCAGAGCACACAAGTATAGAGACCTAAACAAACTCTAGATCCTTTTATATAGACATAAGTAATCAATAAACAGCAGATCAGACTAAAAATGTGTCACGTAAACATATAAATCAGAATTTTTTTATCAGGATTGCAATGAAATTATAATCTGATTGAGTGGGGTGGGTTATGCTGAAAGACAATCCTTTTTGGCATGTAAACGCATGTTAGGATTAAGTTGTTTTCAATGAGTGTGAATGAGTATGAAATGTTTTTGGTGATGTTTTCTTCAACATCTTAGACAGGCTCAATAAAAGAAAAAATTAAACTTCTATGTTGTGTTTAAAGAATTTTAACTTTACTTGGTATGTACAGCACTCTGTGGCAGCTGTGGATGTTTAAAAAAAAGTTAAGTTGAGTTGAAGGAACAAATATAAAATGTATGGTTAAAAAACTATTCCAACAGATTCTCATTTATTAAAACCATTATACACACAAAGGGACATTTTAAATTTTATTTTTTAAGTGACAATTTAAAAGATAATCATTAAAAAAGTAAATCTTCATATTTTTCTCTGTACTGATGACACCAGCTGCTGCTGTTTCAGTCAAATACTATCCATCTGAAGGTAGCAGTTGATTTAATTAGACTCCATACATTTGGGACTGAAAATGGAGCGTTTCCAAAACAATTCCTTCTAATTACCAAAGTAGCCATATTAAAAAAAACAATAAATAACTTAGGAGTAAAAAAAAACAACTTAAGGACACTGGAGAAAGCATTACTGATATTTTTAAGTTTTACTGTAACAGGGTTTATGAATAAAGTAATAACCCGTCGACAGGTTGCAGCCATGTCCCGAATTCCTCGTTTTCCAGCCCCCCCCATTCGCTAGCTTTTTCTCCGACTTAAGCTTCTTCTCTGAACATACAGCTTTGCGATCAACCGGAAGCAGTTCCACGCAAA